CTTCTTTCTTTCTTTCTTTCTTTCTTTCTTTCTTTCTTTCTTTCTTTCTTTCTTTCTTCCTTCCTTTCTTTCTTCCTCTCTCTCTCTCTCTCTCTCTCTCTCTCTCTCTCTCTCTCTCTCTCTCTCTCTCCCTCCCTCCCTCCCTCCCTCCCTTCCTTCCTTTCTTTTTTGGTTTTTCGAGACAGGGTTTCTCTGTGTAGCTTTGTGCCTTTCCTGGAACTCGCTTTGTAGACCAGGCTGGCCTCGAACTCATAGATATCTGCTTGGCCTCTGCCTTAAGAGTGCTGGGATTAAAGGCGAGCATCACCACCACCCGGCATGAGTCTCTTTCTTTAGCTTCATAGTCTTGGGATGCTAAGGGTATGCACACACTTAATTTTAAATAACAATTTTTGTCATCTCCCTCTGTCTTATACATTATCAGATACAGGCTAGATGATCAACCAGTTGACAGTGAATGAAGAAATAATAAGCTAAAGGTATTTTATTGATCATCTAATCCAACTCAATGCTATAGATAAGGGCATAGAGACTCAGAAATATTAATTAACTTTTCTGGGTCATTCAGCCAAGCAAATCTAAAATCTAAAACATTATCTTTCCAGTGTCTCCAAGGCCCTTTGGAATCAACTGTAAAATCAACTCAAACTCTAGGTTGAGAAAGCTCAGTATTCTTTGTCTCCATTCTGTCAGACTATCCCCATCAGCAATCCCTTTCTCTGTACTCTAGATTCAGATTCTGTGGTCAGAAATGTTATATGTATTACCAAACGCTTCCTGGATGCCTATTTTCTAAATACTATGGGGTTAAAGATGTTCTGGGACAGTGGCTTACTTTTTGAAAATAACTCTTAAAAAGAAATTAGTTTATTCTTAAGAATCTCTTCCCATCTCTCTATCTCTTCGTGGGGGAGAATGAACTACTTGAGAAAGTGTTGAGAAACAAAACCACAGAGATGCCCTGAGTTCTGCATTCCCATTGACAAGTCACTAGAAGAGTAAGGTCAGCTCTGAACTCTGCCAAGTTCTGCCTTTAGTGCTGCAGCATGAAATGAGGTAATGTACTTTATGAGCTGTGAAGAGCTACAGAAATGTGAAGTGTTTTGGAATTGGTGATTTATAGAACATGAAGACCTTTAGAAATGAGGTGGCCCTCCTACTTCCTCACTTCAAGGAGGGGGCAGTGACTCCTCCAAGGTCATTGCTGGAGGTGGTGAAACTGCACCTTACTTTCTCCCTGGCCCATGGCCTTACTGACATCAAAGGCTTTCTGACATCTCCCAGACCCAAGGATCACCTGATAGGCTAGAACCTTTCCCCTGGTATATGCCTTTACACACCACCCTGGTTTAGCATACCTTCTGTGACTGCTGGACATCTTCTCGTTCTATGAGACTCTGCCTCCTTTGACATTCCTCTAGCCTCTCAGTTATTCATTTTTGGAAGAGAAGACAGTTCTTCTCTTAAACAACTTGAATACAGTCTTCCTCACAGCTGTGATTACAATTGGTGTCATCTTGGTAGCTTGGTGTGGGAGTAGGACCCAAAGTTTTTTCCCAGGCAAAGATTCCTCCTGATCTCATCCAAGACACATTTCTCAGCCAAATACTGTCTCTATTCTGAGAGGTCAGAGAATTTGTAAGAAGTAGTTACCTTAGGGTTCTTAGAGATGAATTCAGCAAGGCAGACTTTAAGTCTGATCCAGGGAGTCCATCTCTACAAGGGATGAGTAACCACTAAGAGATCTGAAGCCAGAAACTGGGGTCTCTGTCCCATCATTAACTGTCTTCAGGGGCAGGCAGAGCTGGGCTGCCAAGATCTAAACTACCACCTGGTGCTGGGCTTCTGACTACTAATGGAGCTTCTATCCTATTGTAGTTTTTGATGCTGATCCCACAAAGTGAGGAAGAGTTTGCCCTGTGGCCCTACAGACCCATGCTATTTTAACTGAGATTATAACCACACAGTGAATTTTTCTTCAAGTGCTAAAAAAGAAGCCCAGCTGTGGGAATAAAGGTAGTGGCAAAAACAGATTTGTAATTTAATTTTTCTTATCTCATTTTTTTCCCATTCTGCCCATTTAACTTATCGACATCTTCCTCTTCTCTTCTACTTTGGAAATCCAATCAAAACACATATAGCATATATATTTTGTGTTCCAGTTTCTGAGCTCAACATAAGATGGACAGAGTAAAGATAAAAGATTTTCTTTTCTCAGCTTAGTGGAAAGAGAAATGTAGGGAAAGCATCTCAGCTTAGTGGAAAGAGAAATGTAGGGAGAGCATCTCCAATTTTCCCTTGTTTAGACCTCAGATGGTTTAACTTTTCATTCTGTTGTCAACAGTGTGAATTTTTGCTTAGAAGAATGTTTTTTTCCCTACCTTTTACTTATTTTCCATGTCTACACACATAGTAATATGTGTCTAACATATCCTCTTGGATCCCTTTGTAGGACTTCGGCCAGGGAAGAGGGCACACAAAACTGGGTCATTAGATTGAATGAAATATAAACAAAGGTAGTTCAGTGCCCAGAGGGAGGGGCTCAGACCAGCTGGCCGTGCTTGCCATTGTGCGACAGAGAGAAAGGGAAGGAGCAGATTACATAATCTGGTAAACAGAAAATGGGATGTGAGATCTCTGGTAGGATTTCTGACCTTCTGTCAAGGACACAGCAACTTGAGGTCATGGCAAGCAAGGGGGCTGGCCACAGTGTTCCTTCTTTGTGACCTCATAATGTGCCCTCCATTGCTTTGCTGCCCTGGAATTCAAGGAGACCTCAATAGTCCCAAGTAGGATGTACTCTGAGGTGGTGGCGGCATGGCTATAGGGGGCAAAATGGGAGACAAACACTTTGTACTATTAGTGTAGCAAACTTTTTTTTTTTTCAAGAAAGAATTTCTCTGTGTAGCTTTTGCGCCTTTCCTGGAACTCACTCTGTAGCCCAGGCTGGCCTCGAACTCACAGAGATTTGTCTGCCTCTGCCTCCCGAGTGCTGGGATTAAAGGTGTGCACCACCACCTCCCGGCTGTGTAGTAAACTTTTACTTCTGCAAAGAGACTCACTCAAGATCCTCTTCTCTGGTCCGCACCCTGTGCCCCATAGACATCCTCCCTAACTTGACTCCATTGGTGAGAAAGTTCTCATGACAGAGACTATAAACAATACATAACCCTGTCTGACAATAAGGAAGAAACAAAGCAACATTAGGGACACCATCTCTCCCATTCCAGAGTGCACAGGGCATGCTAAGTTCCTGGTCATCCTTACTACATTCACTTTGGGCATTTCCTCCAGGCAATGTGCTCAGGAGAACAAACTCATTTCTATAGACACATCTTCTAATCTGTCTTTTTGACTAGCCATGGCCTTTTTCTTTTAAATTATATTTGATTTTTCTTGTAGGAAGCCTTTTGGGAATGGTATCTGAAGGGGTGTCCATCCCTGGCATGCCTCACTCACAGTAGCCTTGCCTTTGATGTAGCACCAATAACATGGATTTAATAATTATGGTTGTTTCCCCCATGAGATTCTTAGGACTTTGAAATCAGGGAACATTTTGTTATCACTTATATGTCTGTAAAAGTGACAGTGGCTTGAATGAACCAAGGCTCAGCAAGCATTGTTTAACTAGAAGATTGGAAAATGAAGATTTGGTCTGTAGCTACAAATGATCAGGTAGAGGGGAGCAAGGGAGATAAAACACATGATGATCTTTATTTCTTAGTGTTTTAAGAACATTCAGTACTCAAGATATAGTCAGTTCTGTCCCAGGTATGCTAAAGTGATGCAGTGAAATCTCATTGTTACCAGCCACGTGGACACCATCTCATTGCAGTTAATGGAAATAAATGTACCATTTAGTACTTTAAATCACGAGGCAACATGACTGCCTTCTATTTGCACTGACCTTCTGTTGCCCTCATTATTCCCGCACTCTGGATGTCTGCACCTGATCTTGTTGATTCAGCACAAGAGGGTGCATCCGAAAGGCAGAGGTGAGGTGCAGAGAGGTGAGGAAGTCAGAGATAAAGGAATCTGGCATCTTATGAGTAAAGAGACCACTGAAGATTCCTCATCTTTTGCTCCTGCATCCCTCTATCGTACTCTTAGTGCATTGTGTTGCAAGTGCTTTAAATCTCCTGGACAGATCATGAGCACCCTGAGAGCTGGTGTCAAAGTCAATTCATCTCTGAATCCTTAGTGCCTGGCATACAGTATGTGATGCAAGAGGTGTTTGGAAAGTACCTCCGTTCAATGACAAATGAAAGGCAATGCATAGGGGAAGGAAGGCCTTGACTCTAACCCCTACCATTGGTTGAAGGGATAAAGATTGAAAGGATTCTATGAAGACAATGATTTTATGTTTTGTGGGGGGAAGGAATAACTCCAAAGAAATCAAAAACCATTTGGTTCTTCAGCTGCTGTATTTCTCTGCTTCCTGATAGTCTTTTGTTGCCTCTCTAATGGACATAACTCACTCTCAGACAAGTCTCTGATACCAGCACCACAGCTATTTGGCTCCATGTCATATTTGTACAATTACTGAGCACATAGTTGTAGCTCAATGTTATTTTAAAATAAACTTAAAATCTCTTTCTCTGGGATTTTACTGCTCTCTACATAATTAGTCTTTATCTCCTTCCTGATCTTCATTTCCAAGTCTTCAACTTCCCATTTTAGAAACAAGGAAGTTGAGGATTTGAAGAGACTTGTTTAAAGTCATAAAAATAATATATGGCATTATAAACTGATTCTTTTCTCTCTTTGTCATCCTAGTATGAGTCCAAAATTCACCTAGTTATGGTTGAGTGTGAACTGTCCTGCACGGATTTAGATGTTTGAATGCTTGGTACCAAGATGATACCACCATTTGGGAAGGTTGTGGAACTTTCAGGAGGAGGAGACTTGCTGGTGGAAATGGATCATTGGAGGTGAACACAACGCTTCCTATTTCATCTCTGCTTCCTGAATGTGGATATAATGTGATCAGCCAGCCTCCTGGTCTTGTCACCATGCCTATTGCCACATCTTTCCCTGCATGATGGAGTGCACCCCACTGGAATTGCAAGACAAAATAAAGCAGTGAGAAATTAACAAGGACAATCTTATTCAATGGCTTCCAATTATTTATTTGTTTGTTTTAGATTAGGGACTTCTGTAGCCTATGGCAACACACACTTGTAATTCCAGCAGACAAGAGGCTGAGGTAGGAAAATCTAGAGTTCCAGGATGGGAGAGAGAGAGAGAGAGAGAGAGAGAGAGAGAGAGAGAGAGAGAGAGAGAGAGAGAGAGCTCATCTCAAAAAATAAAGCAAAGAAAAGCCAAAAACAGAGAACTCTTTGTTCAAGGATGTCTTATCTATAAACTCAATATGTATATTTAAAACAAATAAAATCTTACTGCTCTGGTTAATCCAGAGTTGAGGTATTCTGTCAACAACTCAAACAAAATGGCTGCTATGGAGCTAGGAAGTGCATACATTGAAAATTGTTGATGTAACAGGTTCCTTGAGTCTTTCTGCAAGGTTTGCAGTGAGGTTGAGATGAAGTCCAAGCCTTAGCTCCCTTGAGCCCCACACTGGCTGTAGGAGTTTTATTACTCTAGTAGAGAGGTATTACAAGGTGGGATAGAAATGCTAACTTGGAGTCAGAAGTTAATTTACAGGTTCAAGGTTGGAACTATTCATTTACTAAGGGCAAAGTGGTAAATTCCTCCCTAATTCAGTCTTGGGTTTTTTAAGATATAAAGGCAGCTTGACACCATGAGTGGTGAGCAGGCTATTTTTGTCTAATGCTAATTTAGAAAATAAAAATGTTTAAGTACCACTTATTTAAAGAATCCAAAGTAAAAATAACTACTGGGCTCTATGGGGAAATTATATTCTTATAACTTATATTGCATTCTTTATTAGTAGGAGACTGGATGATAAACTCAAAAGGTTTCTAAGCCACTAAAATCAAATCTTGGCATACTTCAGAAGTGGCAAGCCAGAGACACATCTTAATATTCTATCCTGAAGTTGTAAAGCAATTCAGCATTCACATTTGTTCATATGCATTATCTTTATTCATTAAGGAAAAAATCCTTCACTCTAGATGTAATTGAAGAGAAGACTCAGAGAAGAAAAGTCAGTTTCTCAAGGTCATCCAGCAAGTTTGCCACGGGCATGGATAGAAATGTAGTTAATTCCAATTAATGAACTTTTACGAACTATATGAACATTACAGGCAGACCATTACAAATGTAAGAAACACAATTTCTCAATTGTAGTGTTTGCCACCTTAGGGTTATTTTCTCCCGCTAATCTAAGACAACGGTAGGCACGCTTGTGGTTAGTTTGACTCTTCCTTACATGGCTCCTCAAAGGGCCAGTCATCACATCTATAGCTATGCAATCATAAACACATGTCTGTTCCAGTTTGCATGGATGTCTGTTGCATCCCTCCTCACAGCAACAGGACATGCTTCTGCAGGACGGCATGGAGAAGGTCTGAAAATGATCTACCCATATATTCTTTGTCAGAGGTCAGTCAGGTGACCATCTCTGGACTGGGAACTATACCTTTATTCCCAACAAGGAAAAGAATGTGACAATCTGCCACCTTGCTGTTGTGAGTACTTTGTGGTTGTGGAGTAAGCCTTACCAATCTTTCTGTGATGCATGCAGTTTTTGCATCACAATAATATGCTTTGAACCTCCCCACCACTGGTAACTTGCTCTGCTGGTGATGATGGGTTTTCTTCATGATGGTGTCACATAGTGTAAGATCTCATTTCTCTCCAAATTTCTGAAATCATTTTTTCCTCTCCATTGGTATAGACACAGATGGGTTTACCATGTTGCCAACTATGGATTTGCTTCTCTGAATACAGCAAATTAGTTGCAAGAATGACCATCATTCCAAAATGACTTATTTGTGTTATTTTATTTGTGTTCTAACAAATAAAGCTTGCCTGGGGATCAGAGGAAAAATCTAGCCACTATATTAAACATAGAGGTCAGGCAATGGTAGCACATGCCTTTAATCCTGGAATTTGGGAGGCAGAGATTTATCTGGATCTCTGTGAGTTCAAGGCCACACTGGGAACACAGCCAGGCACAGTGGCATATGCCTTTTGTCCCAGAACTAGTTAACCATAGAGGTCTGGAGGTCTGTACAGACAGACAGGAAGTGATAGAGCTAGGAAGAAAGAGGAAGTGATGTAGTTGGGCAGAGAGAGAAAGTGAGATGGCAGGGCACAGAAAAGTATATAAGGTATAAGTATACAGAAAGTAGCCCTCTTGGGCTGAATTTCTAGTGGTAAGAACTTGTGGCTAGATTTTGCTATTCCTCTGATCTTTCAGCTTTCACCCCAATATCTGGCTCCAAGTTTTTCTTTTTTATTAATAAGACTGTTTAGCAAATCATGTTACAGTTCTCAAATTGTAGTGGTGGAAATAAAGTTAGTTTCCTAGAGGTAGAGTCTGTGTAATATGAGGCTCATGCACAGGTGATGGATGCAAGTTTTCTAACTTGAAGGAGAAAAGATTCTAGAATTCAACAGCAAAACCCAAGGGTTATTTTTATTACAACATACTGTAAGATATTGTACCTATGCAATTCATTTAAAATTGTAACATAAAGTTCTAACCCATAAAAGCTACTATTACAAACTCTTTAGGATAATTAAGATAACAGTCAAATTTGTAGTAAGGGTTTAGATGTAGACAGAAATAAGCTTTATTTAGCCTCACCCAGTTTAGATAGATAGATGGTCTTCAAATACTTCATAGGTCTACAGAATGTGGTATTTAAGATGCTTTAATAATGCAAGACTTTTCATGACAGTGAGACATGTTTGTTCTTGCCAGTACCAATCTATTTCAAAAAAGGATGAGGGGCATGAAGAACCTCCTTATGGAGTTTTCTTTCAATGTGGCAAGGCAAGCCACTGGGCCAGAAACTCCCCTTTGGCTCTACTGCTGACAGTATACTGTCCAAATTGGACAAGCAGGACACAAGGGAAGTTGACTGCCTAACTTTGCCAAGACAAGGTAGGCCAATTCTTCCAAATTCCTGCTTCATAGAAAAGTCTGTCAGATATTCTAGGCTTGTAGGTCAAAGATGGATGCTCCAAGCTTGAAGAGGATCCTTAGGTGACTGTCCAGGCAGTCAGCTGTCTCTGTCATTCCTATAGTTTTGGAACTTGTTTGCTTTGCACTTCCTGTTTACTCAGGTAATATTTTATCCTTCTTGGGTCTCTGATGGGAGTTAAAGACTAGATAGTTATACCGTTTTCTTTGTTACCAAATTCAGAAAAGAAAATTACAAAAGAGATGTAAAGCTTACAAGATTGAAAGACATAAAAGCTCAAGTTGTTTCTCTAAGAAAATGCTTTAAGGTCTAAAAGGTTATTTTTAGGCCAGTAATATAAGTTATGATGGAAAATGGCTTAGGTATAAAACTTTGGACTCACCAAGATAGGATAGGTAACAGTATTTTCTCTGAATTTGCCCAATACAAATGGACTTGACATTGTGAATGTAATTCTTACTTGATAATTGTTCTTGTTGTTTATAGTTTTACTGTATTATAGGAATTAAAACCTTTCCTTTTTCTTTAGATGATGACAATTGGGCTAGGCACAAATCTATGAGTATAGCAGAACGTCATTAGGCACCAATACAGTGGCATTTTTTTCTCAAGTCATGTTTGCTTCTATTCTAGGTCTCTGGGTCATCCAGCCCATGAGTCCTGGTGTTGCAGGCAGTGTTGGGGGTGGGTTTACTCTCCTGGTATAGGTTTTAGGCTAGATAAGTCATTGGTTGGCCACTCCCTCAATCTCTATGCCACCCTGACAGCAGCACATTTTATACGTAGGACAGACTGTAGGTTGAAGATTATGTGGCTGGGTTAGTGTCCCAATCCTTCTACTTGACATCTTTCTTGGTCACAAGAGATGGCTAGTTCAGGTGCATATCCACTATTGCCAGAAGTCTTAGGTTGAGTCATCCTTACAGAGAGATTCTCTATGCCACCTTTCTACCTAACCTGAAAATGTGGTCCCTTACCAGTTGTCTCTTACAGAGCTCTCCCCCCAAACCCCGAACCTGATTGCTGATGTTCCCATTCCCACCAGTCCTTGGTCCACTCATAAAATCCTTCTGTTTTCACTTCCCAGAGAAATATGGGTGTCCCCCTTTGAATCCTTGTTACCTAGTCTCTCTGGGTCTGTGGATTGTAACACATTTATCCTTTAATTTTATAGCAAATATCCACTTATGAGTGAATATATGCCATGTTTGTTCTTCTGGGTCTGGGTTATCTTACTCAAAGTGATTTTTTCCCAGTTCCATCTATTTGCCTGCAAATTTCATGATGCCATTGTTTTTCTCTGCTGAGTAGTATTCTATATGTATATGTACCACATTTTCTTTATCCATTCTTCTGTTGATGGGCATCTAGGTTGTTTCCAGGTTCTGGCTATTACAAATAATGCTGCTATAAACATAGTTGAGCAAGTGTCCTTGTGTTATGATTGAGCATCCTTTGGGTATATGCCCAAGAGTGGAATAGCTGGGTCTTGAGGTTGATTAATTCCCAACTTTCTGAGAAAACTCCATATTGATTTCCAAAGTGGCTGTACAAGTTTGCACTCCCACCCGCAATGGAGGAATGTTCCTCTTGCTCCACATCCTCTCCAGCATGAACATCCAGCATGGTCTGGATGACCCAGAGACCTAGAATAGAAGCAAACATGACTTGAGAAAAAAAATGCCACTGTATTTGTGTCACTTGTGATTTTTTACCTTAACCATTCCTTCAGGTATACTATGGAACCCCAGAGTCATTTTGATTTGCATTTCCCTGATGGCTTCAGATGATGAACATTCTTTAAGTGCTTCTCAGCTATTTGAGATTCTTCTGTTGAGAATTCTCTATTTAGATCTATACTTCATTTTTAAATTGGATTATTTGGTATTTTAATGTCTAGTTTCTTGAGTCCTTTATATATTTAGAAATCAGCCCTCTGTCAGAGGTAGGGTCAGTAAACATCTTTTCCAATTCTGTAGGCTGCTATTTTGTCCTACTGACAGTGTTCTTTGCCTTAC